AGATAAGACCTTATACCTAGAAAACCCTAAAGACTCCTTCAAAACACTCTTAGATTTGATAAATTAATAAAGTTGTAAGATACAAAAATCAATGAACAAAAATGAGTAGCATTTTTATACACCAATAATAATCAAGTTGAAAATCAAGTCAAGAAGGCAATTCCATTTACAATAGCTACAAAACACACACACACACACACACCCCAGGAATACATTTAATCAAGGAAATGAAACATCTCTACAAGAAGAACTATAAACCATTGATGAAAGAAATCATAAGGACAGAAACAAATGGAAAAATACCTTATGCTCATGGATTGAAAGAATCAGTATCATTAAAATGACCATACTGCCCAAAGCAATCTATAGATTCAGTGCAATTTCTATCAACTTACTAAGGTCATTTTTCACAGATTTAGAAAAAACAATTCCAAAATTCATATGCAACCCAAAAAAAGACAAAGTAGCCAAAGCTATCCTAAGTAAAAAGAACCAAGTTGGAAACATCACATTACTTGACTTCAAATTATACTACAAGGCTATAGTAACCAAAACAGCATTGTACTGGTATAAAAAAAGACACATAGATCAATTGAACAGAAAAGAGAACCCAGAAATAAGGCCACATATCTACAACCAACTGATCTTTGACAAAGTTGACAAAAACATACACTGGGGGGAAATGACACTATTTAATAAATGGTGCTTGGAAACTGGATAGCCATATACAGAAGAATAAAATTGAACCCGTTTATCTTACCATATACAAAAATTAACTCAAGATGGACTAAAGGCTTAAGCATAGGACTTGAAACTATGAAAATCCTAGAAAAAAAAAAACCTGGGAAAAACTCTTCTGGACATTGACCTAGGCAAATAATTTATGACTATGTCCTCAAAAGCAAATGAAACAAAAACAAAAATAGACAAATGGGACTTAATTGAACTAAAAAGCTTCTGCACAGCAAAATAAACAATCAACAGAGTACACAGACAACCTACAAAATGGGAGAGAATATTCATAAACTATGCATCCAACAAAGGGCTAATATCCAGAATCTACAAGGAACTCAAACAGGTCAACAAGAAAAAAACAAATAACCCTATTAAAAAGTGAGCAAAGGATGTGGACAGACAGTTCTCAAAAGAAGACATACAAGCAGCCAACAAACATATGAAATAATGCTCACCATTACTAATCATCATAGAAATGCAAATTTAAACCACAGTGAGATACCATCTTATACCATTCAGAATGGCTATTACTAAAAGTCAAAAACAATATATGTTGGTGAGAAGGTGGAGAAAGAAAATGCTATACACTGTTGATAAGAATGTAAATTAGTACAGCCTCTAAGAAAAACAGTATGGAGAGTTCTCAAAGAGCTAAAAGTAGAACTACCCTATAATCCAGAAATCCTACTAGTGTCTGCCCCCAAAAAAAGAAATTCTTACGTAAAAGACACCAGCACTTGAATGTTTATCACAGCACTGTTCACAATAGCAAAGTCATGGAATCAATCTAAATGTCCATCAATGGATGACTGAATAAAGAAAATGTAGGATATATACACCATGGAATACTACTCTGCTATAAAAAAAAAAGGATGAAATCATGTATTGTACAGCAATGTGCATAGAAAAACTGGAGGCCAAGACCCTAACTGAAATAAATGCATGTTCTTACATATAAGTGGAAGCTAAATAATGGGTACACAGGGACATAGGGAATAGAATAATCAACACTGGAGACTCCAAAAGGTGAGAAGGCATGACAGTTGAAAAATTACCTATTAGGTACAATGTTCACTATTTGGGCAATGGGTCCACTAAAAACCCAGACTTTATCACTATGCAATATATCCACTTAACAAAACTGCGTGTGTACCTGCTAAATCTATAAAAATTTAAAAAGTTATTTTAAGGCAGATATTGTCAGATTTGGATAAGGTAAATAAGACTCAACATGGCTGGGCGCGGTGGTTTACGCCTGTAATCCCAGCACTTTGGGAGGCCGAGGCAGGCGTATCACGAGGTCAGGATATCAAGACCATCCTGGCTAACACGGTGAAACCCCGTCTCTATCAAAAATACAAAAAATTAGCCGGGCGTAGTGGCGGGTGCCTGTAGTCCCAGCTACTCGGGAGGCTGAGGCAGGAAAATGGCGTGAACCCGGGAGGCGGAGCTTGCAGGGAGCCAAGATCGCGCCACTACACTCTAGCCTGGGCGACAGCGAGACTCCGCCTCAGAAAAAAAAAAAAAAAAAAAAATCTGAGATACATACACAGGAAATTACAAAACATTATTGAAAGAAATTAGAGATCTAAATAAAGATACATTTCATAATGGATTAAAAGATTTACTATTATTAAGATGACAATATTCCCCTGATCTATAGAGTCAACACAATCCTTATCAAAATATCACTGAAGTTTTTGCAGAAATAAGACAAGCTGATCTTAAAATTAATGTAGAAATTCAAGTAACTCAGAATAACCAAAGCAATCAGGAAAAAAACTAAATTGGAGGACTCACCCTTTCTCATTTGAAACTTACTACAAAGCTACTGTAATAAAGACAGTATGGTCATGAAACAGAACAGATATATACATCAGTAGAATGGAATTAACAGTGTAGAAAGAATCCCTTACATTTACAGTCTGTTGATTTTTTTGTTAAGACAGTGTCTTGCCTTGTTACTCAGGCTGGAGTACAGAGGGACTGTCATAGTTCACTGCAACACCACACTTTGAGCTCAAGAATTCCTCCCACCTCAGCCTCCCGAGCAGCTGGGACTATGGGCACATGCCATCCCACTCAGTTTACAGTGAGTTGTTTTTTTTGTTTGTTTTTTTTTTTTTGAAACAGGGTCTCACTTTGTTGCCCAGGCTAGGGTGCAGTGGCATAATCATGACTCGCTGCTGCCTTAATCTCCTAGGCTCAAGCAATCCTCCTGCCTCAGCCTCCTGAGTAGCTGGGACTACTGATGTGTGTCACCACACCTGGCCAATTTATTTATTTTTTTTTTAAGACAGGGTCTCGGCCTGGCACGGTGGCTCACGCCTGTAATCCCACCACTTTGGGAGGCCAAGGCGGGTGGATCACCTAAGGTCGGGAGTTCAAGACCAGCCTGACCAACATGGAGAAACCCCGTCTCTACTAAAAATACAAAATTAGCCAGGCATGGTGGTGCATGCCTGTAATCCCAGCTACTCGAGAGGCTGAGGCAGGAGAATCGCTTGAACCCGGGAGGTGGAGATTGCGGTGAGCCGAGATCATACCATTGCACTCCAGCGTGGGCAAAAAGAGCAAAACTCCGTCTCAAAAAAAAAAAAAAAAAAAAAAGACAGGGTCTCACTCTGTTGCCCAGCCTGGAGTGCAATGGCACAATCATGGCTGCAGCTTCGACCTCCCAGGCTTAAGCAATTCTCCCACCTCAGGCTCCCAAGTACCACAGGTGGTACCACAAGCACACAACACCATGCCTGGCTATTTTGTTGCTGTTTTTTATTTTTTGCAGAGACAGAGTCTCCCTATGTTGCCCAGGCTGGTCTCAAACTCCTGGGCTCAAGCTATTCTCCTGCCTCGCCCCCTCAAAGTGCTGGGATTACAGGTGTGAGCCACCACACCTGGCCCAGTCAGTTGATTTTTAATGAAGTTGCCAAGACCATTCAATGAGTAAAAGGATAGAATATTCACAAATGGTGCTGAGACAACTATATAGCTACATGTAAAAAAATGTAGGAAGTTAGACCCTTTTTCACACCATATACAAAAAATAACACAAGATATATGCATAAATATAAAAGCTAAAGCTATAAAAAAAAGTTAGAAGAAAAATGAGTAAATATTTTTACCTTGGTTCAAATGATGGTTTTTTAGATGCATCACCAAAAGCATAAGCAACCAAAGAGAAATTAAACAAATCATACCATCAAAATAAAAAACTTGTGTTCATCAAAGGATACTTCCAAGAAAATGAATAGACAGCCCACAGAATTGGAGAAAATACTAGCAAATCATATGTCAGGTAAGGGTCTAGTATCCAGAATGTATAAGGAACTGTTACAACTCAATGATAAAAAGATAAATAACAAATTAAAAGTGGGCAAATTGTCTGAATAGACATTTCCATGAAGTATAAATGGCCAAGAAGCACATGAAAAGATGCTCAACATCATTAGCCATTAGCGAAATGAAAATCAAAACCACAATGAGATATTTCAAAACTACTAGGATTGCACTATATATGTATGTATATATGTATGTGTGTATATATACATACACATACATATAAAGACAGACAACAACAAGTGTTGGTGAGGATGTGGAGGAACTTGGACTTTTGTACATTGCTGGTGGGAATGTAAAATGGTACAGCTTTGGAAAATAGTCTGGCATTTCCTCAATAGGTTAAACATAGAGTTACTATATGATCCAGTTATTCTAATCCTAGGTATATACTCAGGCCAAATGAAAACATTAATCTACACAAACACTTGTACACAAATGTTCAGAGCAACATTATTCACAACTGCCAGAAAAAAGGAAACAATTCAAATGACCATCAACTGATGAATGGATTAATAAACTGTCGTATATCCAGTCAGTAGAACATTATTTAGCAATAAGGATGAAATTATCATACACACTTCAACATAGATCAACCTTGAAAGCATTATGCTAAGTGAAAGAAACCACCACAAAAAAAAAACACATTATATGATTTCGTTTATATGAAATGTCCGGAATAGATAAATCTATAGTGACAAAGTAAATTAGCGGTTGCCAAGGACTGGGGTTGGAATGGGGACTGACTGCTATGGGGAGTGACTGCTAATGAGCATAGAATATTATTTTGGGGTGATAAAAATGTTCTAAACTTGATTATAGAAATGAGACACGATAGTTCCCTTGACCCACTTCGTGGGTGGGAATGAAAGTGGCTCGTTTCACTTAGCCCGCCACTAGCCACTCCTTGCGAGACAGTGTGCGCGAACAAGCGAGTGTGGGAACTGGAGGGAGTGAACGCTGAAACTGGCCAGTCACTCCTCTCTGGCGGGAGCAGGCTCTGTGCGGGCCCTACAGCAGCATCCAAGCCCCTGTCCTCTTGGCACCCGAGCTCTTCCAGGAAGAATTAGGTCACCCAACCGGATTGAAGGGTAGTTATGTGGAAGATTTTATTGGGTAATGGCTCTCAGCAGGATGGGAGTTGGAAAGGGGATGGTGCGGGAAGAAAGTGATTTTTGCCTGAAGCCACACTATCTGAAGTTAGTTGCCTATTTGTAGTCTGACACTCAGTTGCTGCTTCTCCGCTTGCTGCGCATATACCCGGCGCTCAGCCGTTTGTGTTGCTCTGCCAGCTGAAGTCTTTTATATATGCGCACAGGATAGGGACATGGCAGGCCAAAAAGCAACATTTGAGTACAAAAATGGAGTCAGCTGTTTTCACACAGGGCTGTGGTTCCAGGTTTAAGGGTGCGGTTTAGCCAGGAGCCAAGCCATTCTGTATCATTTCACCCCTCTGAAGAGGCACATCTAACTGCCATTAGAATATGGACAACGACCGGTCTTTCCTTTCCTCCCAGAAGTCCACCCAAGGATCCCCAGCGAAAGAGAGCCATAGTCCGAGTCTCTGGCTGCCTGCCTGTTTGGAGCTTTGATGGCCTCTAGGTGAGAGAAAAAACAAGCTTTACAAGGCCAAATATGCATGCATCAAACATGTATTATAGAAGGAAAGAATCTAGTGTGAAATATTACAGAAATAAAAAGTGAAATATGCTAGTAACATTGTACCCCAAGCTCTCACCCTGGTGAAAGAAATTAAACCTTGTATGAGAGCAGTTAAACTTTGAGAGATAACTGCTCTTGTCACGTCGGTGGCAGTTAACAGGTGAACCCTAGGAATTCTGGGGTCTGTGGGCTTGCATGGTGGTCATTAAAGCTTCTTCCTCTTTCTTGTGTCTAAATGACAAAGCTGCCACTTTCAGGAGGTCCCCTAAAATGCTACCTGGTCCCAGGGTGCCTTTCTAAGTTTAAACTGGAGGTGGTCAAGTTTATTGGTTGCCCATTCTGAAAGAGAGGGAATTTGGTGTCTCTCATTCCCTTTCTTCTTTCAGTGAAATCTTGGGGTGTGAGGGAGAAAGCAAGCAGGCATTCCCCCTTTCTCTTCTTTTTGTCTGAATCTCGGCAACCTTGGCAGGTGCCACCCATGCATGCCAATGAGGCTTGCACCCAGAAGCAGGGAGGGCCTAGAAAATAAGAATTACCCACACTCATCTGTGCCTCTACCTCCCCTACTGTCGACAACGTTTGAGCTCCCTTGGTCTCATTTATGCCGTGTAGCATGGCCTCCTTCCAGGAAGCAGGGGGTTAATTGGCAGGAATCGGTCCTGCCCAGTTATTTACACTGGGCCTGTTGCGTGGCTTTTGTTCCCTCAGATCTGGTTTTCCTTTCTAGGGCCCCAACCTCAAGTTTAGAAACAAGTTTTAGATCTCCCCCCCGCCCCCCCCCCCACACACACACAAATGGTATTTCAGAGGCTGCATGGATTCATTTAAATTTAAGTCCCAGAGGGACTTTGCCAAATTATCAGCCAGGAGGGGTTGCTCCTCTGTTGCCTCCCTGTCATAAACAAAGTTGAGGTAGGAAAAGAATCCTCTCGCTTAGAAAAGAAAAAAAGCTTGAATTACCTAAGTTGGGGGGACCTGGGGGAAGGGTCTCTTGCTCTGTTGAAATGGGTTTCTTTAATCACTGTATCCCTCCTCTGGTTCAGACCGGCTAGACCTCGGTGAAAGGAAACAGCCAACATTCCTTTTACCTAAAGGAAAGAGAGAGGTGGCAGGGTCTTGGAAAAGACACAAATTCGACAGTTCCTCATTTTAACTCACTCTTTTTCATATCCTGGACAGGCCCCCATATGAGACAGGACTGTTCCCTTCACCTTAACCCCCTTCGTGGGCGGGAACCTGGCTGCAGAGCGTGCGAGTGCGGGAACCGGAGCTAACGAATGCTGGAACCGGCCAGTCACCCCTCTCTGGCGGGAATAGGCTCTGTACGGGCTTCACAGCAGCGTCCAAGCCCTGCCCTCTCGGCACCCGGGTGCCTGTCCGGCGTCCAGGAAGAATTAAGTCACATGAACGGATTGAAGAGTAGTGTATGCGGAGGATTTGATTGAGTGGTGGCTCCTGGTGGGATGGAAACTGGAAAGTAGATGGTGAGAGAGGATCATCTTTCCCGGAAGCCGCACCGTCTGAAGTTAGCTGCGCCTACCTCTAGTCTTCAACACTCCGTTGCTGCTTCTCTGCTCACCGCTCAGCCGCTTGTGTTGATCTGCCGGCTGAAGTCTTTTTTATGGCCACAGGATAGGGGCGTGGCAGGCCAAAAAATCAACATTTGCGCAGAAAAACAGGGTCAGCTGTTTTCAAGGCCGTGATTCCAGGCTTAAGGGTAGGGTTTAGCTGGGAGCCCAGCCGTTCTGTATCAGTGATAGTTGCACAACTATAAATATACTAACAACTATTAAATTGTGTACTTTAAGTTAACTGTATGATATATGAATTATATCTAAGTAATTTTTTTAAAAATATGCATATACCTTAGTCTAGCTATTCCAGGTCTAGTAATATATACTACAGTGATAGTAGCATAAAGATATAATATGTGGTTTATAATAATATAATAAAATAAATAATAATATATAATAAAAATAATAAATATTGGAAATACTTAATCTTGCAAATGCATGATCAGTAAGGTAGTGGAGGCAACTAGGTTTCCCAGGAGCTCCAGGCTTCTCAACTTCTGAGTAGCAATCTCAAGGAAGTACATACTCTGACTGAAACTGTTTATGTTACAGACCTACTCTTTAGACCAATCACTGTTCCCATAGAGATAGCTCATTATGATTTGAGGAGTCAGAATCATGTGCCCACTGCTGAAATCAGGAATTCAGGGTCCTGGGACAGACATCCGTGCCACCCACCTAATGTTTTCTGGAAGTTTGACTTTAAAAGGAAGAAGAGAGCAAGAGATCAATATAGCTAGAGTGTGGAGATGAGGTGTTTTCTTTAGAATAGACGTGACTTGAACATGTTTAAATGCTTGTGCAGAGTAGCCAATATAGAGGGAGCAGTTAAAGACACAAAAGAAATGGAACATTTCTAATCAATACATCTCACGAAATTATTATTTCCCACTACGCCTCAGAAAATTATATTCAATAAAGGAATTTGTTTCTGGATCCTTGGAGGATTAACTTTCCTCTTCATGCTTAGGCAATACAAAGTTGAATCACCACTTTAAACCACATTACACAGACTAGAAGGTGAAACTCCAATGCACAGGCCATTATGTTAATCAATAGTTCAACCTTCTTTTTTTTTTCTTTTTTGAGACGGAGTTTTATGCTCTTGTTGCCCAGGCCGGAGTGCAATGGCGCAATCTCGGCTCACTACAACCTCTGCCTCCTGGGTTCAAGCAGTTGTCCTGCCTCAGCCTCCCACGTAGCTGGGATAACAGGCATGCAGCACCACACCCAGCTAATTTTGTGTTTTTAGTAGAGACGAGGTTTCACCATGTTGGCCAGGCTGGTCTTGAACTCTTGACCTCAGGTGATCCACCAGCCTCAGCCTCCCGAAATTCTGGGATTACAGGCATGAGCCACCGCACCCAGCTGCAACCTTCATTAAAAATAGGATTCCCTCCACTCACTCGTTTACCCAGTTAGTGTGTAATTGTGGCAGGCCATCTGTCTTTGCAAAAGGGAATGTGGTAATCATTGTTTTTTTTGTTCACCTCTTCTCACATTCTCAGCTGCTGTAGCTGACCCCTCTTAGTTGGAAAACGAGGAAGGAGGAGAAGAAAGGGAAGCAGAAAGTTCTTCCTTGACTGGTACTATTTTAAGACGGCTTTGCACTCTCTGGTTTTGGCAGATGTTTAAAGCTGAGTCATACTTAAAGATGGTTTCATGGATTCTTTGGACACTATCCTGCAGGACCCTTCCAACTACAACTCCTATGACATGGGCCAAATGTTCTTTTCTTATAGTTCCTGATCCACCCTTAGCTGGAAACAAGAGCCCACTTCTCAGAAGCTCTGTTGGGGACCCATTGTCTTCCCAGGCAATCTTAGAAAAATCTCTTGCTAAGTGAAGGTATGTGTTTTCCTCATTAAGTGAATCGAGTCATTGTTTTAGGTTATCTGCAGCCAAAGGCATTTTCACTGGTAGAGCAACATGCATAAATTTTTTATCTTCCCGGTGTCCTGTTTAATTTAATAGGAGGAGAGTTGCTATTTGTTTGTGTGTTTTATATCTCTTTAGAAAATTTCAGTGGTCCTGTCCAGGTGTGGTGGCTCACGCCTGTAATCCCAGAACTTGAGGAGGCCAAGGTGGGCAGATCACCTGAGGTCGGGAGCTCGAGACCAGCCTGACCAACATGGAGAAACCGCGTCTCTACTAAAAATACAAAATTAGTCAGACGTGGTGGTGCATGCCTGTAATCCCAGCTACTTGGGAGGCTGAGCCAGGAGAACAGAATTGCTTGAACCTGGAAGGCTGAGTTTGCGGTGAGCCGAGATGGCGCCATTGCACTCCAGCCTGGGCAATGAGAGCGAAACTCTGTTTCAAAAAAAAAAAAAGAAAAGAAAATTTCAGTAGTCCTAATTTAGAAGGTTTAAGCTTCATTCATTCAGAGCCTCAGAGAAAAGCCTTGTTATATAAGAAGAATATTGAGGAAATTGTTAAATTGATTATGATTATGAATAAAAACTATAATAAAGAATTATTTTTTAAGGTCTTGAGAATCTTATCCCAAAACCAGCAAACGGCAGAGTTCCTGGACTTTTCTCCTTGAACCTTCCTAACTGAGTTTTCTCTGAGAGTTTTAGGAAATTAGATGGAATGCCGGTATGTTTTAGGCAGTAACTGTAATATATATATATATATATATATATATTTTTTTTTTTTTTTTTTTTGAGACGGAGTCTTGCTCTGCCGCCCAGGCTGGGGTGCAGTGGCCGGATTTCAGCTCACTGCAAGCTCCGCCTCCCAGGTTTATGCCATTCTCCTGCCTCAGCCTCCCGAGTAGCTGGGACTACAGGCGCCCGCCACCTCACCCGGCTACTTTTTTTTTGTATTTTTTAGTAGAGACGGGGTTTCACCGTGTTAGCCAGGATAGTCTCGATCTCCTGACCTCGTGATCCGCCCGTCTCGGCCTCCCAAAGTGCTGGGATTACAGGCTTGAGCCACCGCGCCCGGCCCGTAACTGTAATATATTAATAGCTGCCTTGAAAACTGACAAGAAACCAAAAGAAATAGAACAAAGAGACTAATTTTGTACCCAGCTACATGCTAAACATAAAATGATCCAATCTGAACCTAAATGTAACTGCCACTTTCAGATGTCTATTTAATTTATAAGTAACTTATATTCTATTATAAAAGATTCAAGCAATCTGAAAGTTCCTTTCCTTTTTTTATAAGTATTTGCATACATACACATAGCTTTGAATATTTTACATAAATGAAATCATAAATGTATTGTTCTATGACTTGCATTTTTTAAAATTTGGGGGTTTTTTTGTTGTTGTTTCTTTGTTTTGTTTTGGTTTGGTTTTTTTTGAGACGGACTCTCACTCTGTTGCCCAGGCTGGAGTGCAATGGCGCTATCTGAGCTTACTGCAACCTCTGCCTCCTGGGTTCAAGTGATTCTCCTGACTCAGCCTCCTGACTACCTGGGATTACAGGTGCACACCACCACTCCTGGCTAAATTTTTGTATTTTAGTAGAAATGGGGTTTCACCACGTTGTCCAGGCTGGTCTCAAACTCCTGAGCTCAGGCAATCCACCTACCTTGGCTTCCCAAAGTGCTGGGATTACAGGCATGAGCCACCGCGCCCGGCCTAATAATTTGTTTTGAAAATTTTCCAAGTCTGTGTACCAAGCTCATTTTAGCAACTGCGTAATATTCAATAGTAGGGTGTATATATTATTTATCCAATCTTATCTATTAATGGATATTTAGATTCCTTCCCATTTTTAGTTATTAAAAACAATACTATTCTGTTAATAAACATGAGTAATAAACATTCTGTTACTCATATGTTTCTATAGCATTTGAAAAAATCAACTGAAACAGTATACAACTAGAATGACATAATATCCTCTTAACCACTCCTGCATATAGGCTTGCTTCAAGTTTTTACTTTAGTTGCATATAGAGAATGGTCTAATTGGTAATAATATACCATTGAAACAAATACAGTACTGCCTGCATGAATATAACCTAAAATAGTATCCTTAATAAATGTCACTTGTGTCTCAAAATGGAACTGCAATAGACAAATTCATGAGATGACCAATCTAATTGAGAATGCAAGCCAACTTTAGGTGGAATTTATTATTCCTTTCTTCCTTCTTTCTTTCCTTCTTTTTTTTTTTTTTTTTTTTTTTTGAGACGGAGTCTCGCTCTGTGGCCCAGGCTGGAGTGCAGTGGCCGGATCTCAGCTCACTGCAAGCTCCGCCTCCCGGGTTCATGCCATTCTCCTGCCTCAGCCTCCCAAGTAGCTGGGACTACAGGCGCGCGCCACCTCGCCCGGCTAGTTTTTTGTACTTTTTAGTAGAGACGGGGTTTCACCGTATTAACCAGGATGGTCTCGATCTCCTGACCTCGTGATCCGCCCGTCTCGGCCTCCCAAAGTGCTGGGATTACAGGCTTGAGCCACCGCGCCCGGCCTTTCTTTCCTTCTTCATTCTTTTTTTTGCCCTTCTTTTCATTTTTTCTCTTCCTTCCTTCCTTCCATCCTTCCTTTTTTCCTTCCTCTCACACTAGGCTATCACTAACCATTTATTTATTTATTTATTTATTTATTTATTTTTATTTTTTTTAGTTTTTGAGACGGAGTTTCGCTCTTGTTGCCCAGGCTGGAGTGCAGTGGCGCGATCCCCGGCTCACCGTTATCTCCGGCTCACCGCAACCTCCGCCTCCTGGGTTCAAGCAAGTCTCCTGCCTCAGCCTCCCGAGCATCTGGGATTACAGGCGTGTGCCACCACACCCGGCTAATTTTGTATTTTTAGTAGAGACGGGGTTTCTCCATGTTGGTCAGGCTGGTCTTGAACTCCCAACCTCAGGTGATCCGCCCACCTTGGCCTTCCAAAGTGCTGGGATTACAGGCGTGAGCCACCACGCCCGGCCACTAACCATTTATTGAATATGTTAGAATACACCTTTCAAGTCTTGGTGCCTCATTACCCATTGAGACATAAGTGTGTAATTATTATGTATGGACTAGGCACAGTGGCTCAAGTCTGTAATCCCAGAACTTTGGGAGGCTGAGGCAGGTGGATCACCTGAGGTCAGGAGTTCAAGACCAGCCTGGCCAACATGGCAAAACACCGTCTCTACTAAAAACACAAAAAATTAGCTGGATGTGGTGGCAGGCTCCTGTAATCCCAGCTACTAGGGAGGCTGAGGCAGGAGAATTATTTAAACCTGGGAGGCAAAGGTTGCAGTGAGCCAAGATCTGCCATTGCACTCCAG